GAGCCCGGTCTACCTACGATAGAAGGCAGACGACCTAGGCGTGACCTTATGGCCCAATCCAGCCTTTTTGCCCAAAGTTTTATCACCCTTTCACATCAATCAAGCCATCGAGCTGGCGGCCTACTGCCCCACTCCTTTCCAGAATGCAGAGGAGGAGCGAGCAAATCTCCTATGTCTAGTCCGTTCCCTCAAACGCTATATACAAGCCTCAGAGCACTACAGGATGTTAGACCAGCGGTTTCTGTGCTTCGATGGGAAGTCAAAAGGCCTTGCATTGTCCAAGCAGAGGCTTTCACACTGGGTTGTGGATGTCATCACTCATGCCTACAAGGGTGTAGGGCTCCCTGTCCCAGAAAGTGTGATGTCACTCGACTAGAAGTGTTGCCACATCCTGGGCTGCGCTGAGAGGCGTCCCCCTGAATGAGATGCTACCTGGTCGTCGCCCTGCACATTCTCGAGATTTTACAAGGTCAACGTCGCATCCTGCCACACCATGGGCTTTGCCATTCTTCCAGTGGCACTGGTGCATTAATCAGAGGTTAGTAGTGCTATCCCACGTGACCTTGTTGGTATGAGTCATCCATACTTTCAACTGGACTGACGGTCTGAAAGGTATGAAGTAGAACGGAAGTTACGGATGTAACTATGGTTCTACGAATACCTGGAAGACCGTCAATACTTTCCTGTCACTCTGAATCTTTTGGGCGAGAAGATTCTCTGAGACAGTGCGTGGTCTGACGTACGGTTTTATATGAACCACAGGGGCACGTCCTCCCACGCTGTCACATCACCGGCGTGACTTTGTTGTTATTATTACTCGACCTGCGTGGAGAGCGAGGGATGTAATCCATACTTTCAACCGTACTTTCTTCCAGGTATTCATAGAACCATAGTTATATTCATAACTTCCATTCTCTCTCTCTCTCCTCTGGCAACGGCCCACTGGCACACGCAGGTGATGCACAAACCATGACTTTTCCAGGATTTTCATTGCTGACCAAAAATGAACTATAACTGGGTAAATAACTCACTAACTAGCAATGAATATCAACTAATGTGCACACGCAGCTAGGCTCGCTTTGATCTCAAAAACGCACCTTGCGACTGCATGACTGAGAGACCGTTGTAGCCTGTCAATGTAGGCAGGCCTACAATAATTATACTCCGATGCGCTCTGCAGAGATTGGGAGGAGAGTGCGCAACACATTGCATCCAGAGGATACTGATCCAATTCTGATCGGAGTAGCCTAATTTTTTTTATATTGTGATTTTTGTCCATTCGGACAACTTACATTTATATTCTTCTTGTCCAACGACTTTTTTTACTTAATATAATAAATATAATAATAATAATATGCCATTTAGCAGATGCTTTTATCCAAAGCGACTTACAGTCATGTGTGCATACATTTTTTGTGTATGGGTGGTCCCGGGGATCGAACCCACTACCTTGGCGTTACAAGCGCCGTGCTCTACCAGCTGAGCTGGGCAAGCGGACAAGCGTTAATGTTGAGCCCTATTAATAATAATAATAATAATAATATGCCATTTAGCAGACGCTTTTATCCAAAGCGACTTACAGTCATGCGTGCATACATTTTTTTTGTGTATGGGTGGTCCCGGGGATCGAACCCACTACCTTGGCGTTACAAGCGCCGTGCTCTACCAGCTGAGCTACAGAGGACCACATTACAGTGCATTCGGAAAGTTATCAGACCCCTTGACTTTTCCACATTTTGTTACATTACAGCCTTATTCTAAAATGGATGAAATAAAAAAAAATCCACACAATACCCCATAATGACAAAGTGAAAACAGATTTTTTGAAATGTATTTACATAAGTATTCAGACCATTTGCTATGAGACTCGAAATTAGGCTCAGCTGCATCCTTTTTCCATTGATCATCCTTGAGATGTTTCTACAACTTGGAGTCCACCTGTGGTAAATTAAATTGATTGGACATGATTTGGAAAGGCACACACCTGTCTATATAAGGTCCCACAGTTGACAATGCAGGTCAAAGCAAAAACCAAGCCATGAGGTTGAAGAAATTGTCCGTACAGCTCCAAAACAGGATTGTCGAGGCACAGATCTGGGGAAGGGTACCAAAACATTTCTGCAACATTGAAGGTCCCCAAGAACACAGTGGCCTCCATCATTCTTAAATGGAAGAAGTTTGGAACCACCAAGACTCTTCCTAGAGCTGGTCGCCCGGCCAAACTGAGCAATCGGGGGAGAAGGGCCTTGGTCAGGGAGGTGACCAAGAACCCGATGGTCACTCTGACAGAGCTCCAGAGTTCCTCTGTGGAGATGGGAGAACCTTCCAGAAGGACAACCATCTCTACAGCACTCCACCAATCAGGCCTTTATGGTAGAGTGGCCAGACGGAAGCCACTCCTCAGTAAAAGGCACATGACAGCCCGCTTGGAGTTTGCCAAAAGGCACCTAAAGGACTCAGACCATAAGAAACAAGATTCTCTGGTCTGATGAAACCAAGATTGAACTCTTTGGTCTGAATGCCAAGCGTCATGTCAGGAGGAAACCTGGTACCATCCCTACGGTGATGGTGGTGGCAGCATCATGCTATGGGGATGTTTTTCAGCGGCAGGGACTGGGAGACTAGTCAGGATCGAGGGAAGAATGAACGGAGCAAAGTACAGAGAGATCCTTCATGAAAACCTGCTCCAGAGCGCTCAGGACCTCAGACTGGGGCGAAGGTTCACCTTCCAACAGGACAACAACCCTAAGCACACAGCCAAGACAACACAGGAGTGGCTTCAGGACAAGTCTCTGAATGTCCTTGAGTGGCCCAGCTAGAGCCCGGGCTTGAACCCGATCTAACATCTCTGGAGAGACCTGAAAATTGTTGTGCAGCGACGCTCCCCATCCAACCTGACAGAGCTTGAGAGGATCTGCAGAGAAGAATGGGAGAAACTCCCTAAATACAGGTGTGCCAAGCTTGTAGCGTCATACCCAAGAAGACTCGAGGCTGTAATCGCTGCCAAAGGTCCTTCAACAAGGGTCTGAATACTTATGTAAATGTTATATTTCCGTTTTTTATTTTTGATACATTTGCAGAAAATTCTAAAAACCAGTTTTTGCTTTGTCATTATGGGGTATTGTGTGTAGGTTGATGAGGGAAAAAAAAACCAATTTAATCCATTTTAGAATAAGGCTGTAACGTAACAAAATGTGGAAAAAGTCAGAAGGGTCTGAATACTTTCCGAATGCACTGTATGGCTTTGTTCTCAGAACCAATGGGAAATCAAAAACATACGTTCCCACAACTTCTAAGGAACCAAATGTGCTAGCTAGGATGCAATCAATACTTTTTCTGATGTTTTTTTGTGTGGAATATTTTCTATAGTTTTTCTGTCACTTTGAAAATATGGAGTAGGTTGTGTAGAAAACAAAAATGTATTTATTCCCTATTTGGATTTAACTTTAAGACAGCAACATGTGAAGACTGTGCAAGGGGTGTGTAGACTTTCACTAGCAACTGTACAGTATATAGAAAAGGCCTGAGAAAATGAGACTGATAGAGAAAGAGAGATTATATATTGAGGCATGGTTTTGGTATGATAATGATCTGATTCACAGACTCTACCCTCTACTGTTCATCACTATCCTTTCTCTTACTCTCGCATTGTCTCTCCCTTTATTTCTCTTGCTCCACCTCTTTCATATTATCCCTCTATTTCTCTCGCTATCTCCCTTGCCCTCTATCTGTGGAACTGCTTTAATAATGACTGAGTGTACTGTAGGTGTATGGTTTTTGATTATGTGCTGTATTATTTGACTGGCTCCTCCGGTAATGTGGTTATAAATCAGAGCACCGCTGCTTATCCCTGCCATCTTTCACTACTGTTTTACGTCTCTCATCACCCTACAGGACCTGAGTGAACCCATCCCATGCACTACCACTTGTCACTTTCTTATACCTGCATATTGACAGCATCAGTGATTGTTATCTTGGTTGCTTGTTTGGTAGACCTCAAATAAACGTCATGTACAGTACAAAAAAGGAAGTAATTTGTGTTGCTTGCCACAAAGCAGTATCGGTTTAATATATACATTTACAATATGGTACAATTTATCTCAATAAAAATAAAGAGGAAAAATAGTATTCCATTTGAAATGATCTTCTCTCATACCCACTCCCTACCACAGTCTGTCATCTATACACAGTATTCAGTATGGTCATTGTTACCATCATTGTACTTCCTTCAATCAATACTTTCTCATACAGCATTCAAGCTAAGGCCATAAATGAATTCTATAGCAATCAATTGCCCTATTCAATCAAAACCGTTATGGGCTATCCAGGGCAATACTAATATCCCTTTAAAATACAGACAAAAATCCCACAATTTTACCATGCAAGCTTTTTTATACCAGTTTTTTTGTCAATCTGAAAGGGGTAAGGGTTAAAAAAAAACATGGTAATTTAAAACCCACCTAAAGATCTAGTCATGATTCCTGCATTTTCACAGACCCTCTAACCAAAATACAGGTATCAGGTCTGTGTGAATGGTTCTCTGCTTCTTTGCAGGTAAATTAATTAACACTTCCATTGTTTAACAACACCCCACTCCCCTCCCAATTTGCCAGTTACCCACTGATATGTATAAAAGGGTATACCTGCAAATAAGTGGTAAAAATAATAAGGGGTTGTTTGAAAGGGGGTCCTATAAACATTGCCTTATCTTTTTTACAGGTAACATACCATATATTGTCTGAAATGGGAATAAGAAAGATTATTTTGACTTATTTGTTGTTTCATTGTTTTATATTGCGGAGCTTTAATTCATTTTTTGTGTTACTCTGGAAACTTGGCCACAGATGGAATACGACCCTTAGTTTTCAACAGTTGCCAAAACTGTTGGTCATCAAAACATTCAGTTCATCTTTCCTCTTTTCCTTCTTTACTACACTCATCCCATCCCTCTCTCTTCTCCCTCCCCTTCCTCTATCCCTTGTTCCTGCTTCCCTCCTCTACTGCTCATTTTTATGGATGACGTGCTTGAGCAGCGTGATCAGGGGCTTATGGGATTGCTGGGCATATGGCTTCATGAAGCCACCGTAGCGCTTGACAGCGGGTGGGCTGCCCCAGCGGAAGTGACCCATCTGATAGGACCCATCCTTCTTATTCTGCAGCCCCATCTCAGTGAGGGGTCTGGGGACTACCTTGGTCTGAGCCTTGGACCCCTGGTTCCCCAGTCTCTGGTGCTCCAGAGCCCCCGCCATCTCGTCCTCCCAGCTGCTCAGCTGCCTGCGTGCCTGCGGGGGGAAGGTGCCCTCGGAGGAGTCCCCCCCTTCCAGACTGGAGGCATAGACTTTGATGGGTCGGCGTTTGCGCCCCATGGGTTTGCCCCAGCGGAAGTGCTCCATGGAGTAGGAGCGTCTCTTGTCGCTGTGGGGCTCAGGGTCAGCATCCAGGGCTCTCTCTCCAGAGGTCAGGGCTGCCAACAGGATGCCCAGGGAGAGGCTGTCCTCGGTGGACTGCTGGGCAGCCGATCTGGGCTCTGGGGATTCGTCCTGGAGCCCACACCTGCACAGGGGGATGCACTCCTGCCAGACGGAAGAAGAACAGGAGACGGGAGTTCAATACAAATGGATGGACAGGAACAGTGTTTTGTGATATATCGAGGGATGGGTTAAAGAACAAACCATGAATAGTGAGTGATGAAAATTGCTATAGATGATGATGAAATGTTATACTGATTTTGATGTAGATGATGATGATTAATGAATGAAGGTGAATACTTGAACTCTGACTCACCAGTATCTTGTCCTCTGAAGTGAGGTCTTTGCAGTGGGAGCTATCCCAGCACTGCCCCCACACCCCAGGGTTGCACACACACACCACCGCTAACAGCCAGGATGCACACACCATATTCAACCTATCACTGCACAGGACACACAGAGACACAGGGAGGATTAGCCAATGACAAAGACACATGTACAATTATTGAATTCTGATCAGAAACACGTCATGGAAATAGACTGCAGATGATGAGGCCCATAGAGGAATAGGGCTTGAGTCTGTGGTCATTTCATAAGGCCTTACATTGAATAAAAAGTATGTATGACATAAAAGTGAATGCAGTATTCACAGGTAAACTGGTGAAGGGCAAACTATAAGAATTATGGAATAGAACTAATACCATTGGAATTCTATCACCTGACGTATGTGACGCTCAGACATCCTTTTCAAAGATGACTTCACAGACCTTTGTTTTTCTGTTGCTCCTATATATCAGTGCCCTTGTGAACACACACACACACACACACACACACACACACACACACACACACACAATACAGATATGGCGCTCATTCATGCCCCTATCCCACGCATACACTGGAACATTTTCTATGAGATATTGTGGAAGATGCGCAAAAGAAGTCTCTGAATGGGAGGCAGCCTTCAATGGCCTTGTGACGCATCTCCCCTAGTCTACCACCCCCTGTTATCTTTAAATTAGAAGTTAGCACATGTTAAAGTTGACGAACCACCGCCCCTGCTTCCTATATCCTTACCTTGTACCTCAGTCATCCCATCACTGATAACCATTCAGGTGTTCTATAATAGAACATAGAACATCCAATTATGTCTTTTCATTCAGAAAAAGAACCCAGCAAACCATAACTTTCCCCTACAAAATTCTAATAACACAACATCTGTCCAGTTGTGTTGATGATTATACAATGTTTGTATTAGGATGGTAAAAACATACCCCAAAACATTCAATTGGGATCTTTGGAGTGTTATCCCAGGAATTAATCCACTGCACCACTGGGATGGGACTAACACAAGTACAAAGCTGTTTACAGCGATAGTGTAAGAGTTCCAGGTTGTGTTCTTTGTCCTTGTAGAGAGAGGATAAGTACATCTAGAAAAACAAGTACCCTCTATTATTTCTTACTCTACCAATCAATTATATATACAGTAAAGTTGGGATGTTTTGACTTTTATTTCCCTATGAACTTGATTTCAGAAATCATATTACATTTTTATTATTGCCTGATAGATTGTGGTGAGGTGTAAATAGATGTGAAATATGTACTAAGAGTAAGCCATAGTTTGAATCTTAATTTAAGGATTTCAGTGCAAAGGGAAATCCAATGGAAACATTGGGATTTGAAAGAAAGAGAGGATACTTGTGAATTAATTATTTTTCTCTCTCAATTAGTTATATCTTATCTGCAAAGGCAAATATGAGACATAATTCTCAGATTAAGCGTCAATATGCATGTGTGTTTGTCTGTGTTTGTGTGTTGCAGTGTCAGTGTAGTACACTACATGGCCAAAAGAATGTGGACACCTGCTTGTCCAACATCTCATTCCAAAATCATGGGTATTAATATGGAGTTGTTCCCCCCTTTGCTGCTATAACAGCCTCCACTCTTCTGGGAAAGCTTTCCACTAGATGTTGGAACATTGCTGCGGGGACTTGCTTCTATTCAGCCACAAGAGTATTAGTGAATCCCAAAGGTGTTCGATGGGGTTGAGGTAAGGGCTCTGTACAGGCCAGTCAAGTTCTTCCACACCGATCTCGACAAACCATTTCTGTATGGACCTCGCTTTGTGCATGGGGTCATTGTCATGCTGAAACAGGAAAGGGCCTCCTCCAAACTTGCCACAAAGTTGGAAGCACAGAATCGTCTAGAACGTCATTGTATGCTGTAGCGTTAAGATTTCCCTTCATTGGAACTAAGGAGCATAGCCCGAACCATGAAAAACAGCCCCAGACCATTATTCCTCCTCCACCAAACTTTACAGTTGGCACTATGAATTCAGGTAGCGTTCTCCTGGCATCTGCCAAACCCAGATTCGTCCGTCGGACTGCCAGATGATGAAGCGTGTTTCATCACTCCAGAGAACGCATTTCCACTGCTCCAGAGTCCAATGGCGCCAAGCTTTACACCACACCATGGTGATCTTAGGCTTGTGCGCGGCTACTCGCCCATGGAAACCCATTTCAGGAAGCTCCCGGCGAACACTTCTTGTGCTCACGTTGCTTCCAGAGGCAGTTTGGAACTCGGTAGTGAGTGTTGCAAATGAGGAAAGAAGCTTTTTATGCACTACGTGCTTCAGCACTCGGCAGTCCCGTTCTGTGAGTTTGTGTGGCCTACCACATCGCGGCTGAGCCGCTGCTGTTTCTGGACGTTTCCACTTCACAGGGCAGCTCTAGCAGGGCAGAAATTTGACGAACTGACTTGTTGGAAAGGTGGCATCCTATGACGGTGCCACGTTGAAAGTCACTGAGCTCTTCAGTACGGGCCATTCTACTGCCAATGTTTGTCTATGGAGATTGCATGGCTGTGTGTTCGATTCTGTATACCTGTCAGCAACATGTGTGGCTGAAATAGCCAAATACACTAATTTGAAGGTGTGTCCACATACTTTTGGCCGTGTAGTGTATGTGTGAGTGTGTGGTTAGAGTCCAGTGAGTGTACATCGAGCCTGTGCAAGAGAGTCAGTGCAAAAGAATAGAATAAATCCTAATAAAATAGGTGGGTCAATGCAAATAGTCTGGGTAGCCATTTGATGAACTGTTCAGCAGGGTTATGGCTTGGGGGTAGAAGCTGTTAGGAGCATTTTGGTTCCAGACTTGGTGCACTGGTACTGCTTGCCGTGCGGTAGCAGAGAGAACAGTCAATGACATGGGTGGCTGGAGTCTTTGACCATTTTTAGGGCCTTCCTCTGACACCGCCTGGTATAGAGGTCCTGGATGGCAGGAAGCTCGGCCCCAGTGATGTACTGGCTGTACTGGAACGTCATGTCATGACATTGCAGAATAACAGTCTCGCAGGAATGTTTCTTGTTTGTTTGTTGTAGGTGTTAGTAGTAATACAGTATATATATCAGTTGAATATTCCAGGAATGTTCTCCAACATTTTCTATTTCTCCTACATTTTATTGCTGAAGTATGTTCAGGGAACGCTAATGGAACAATCATGTCATAACATCACACTATACCTATATGAGAGTCACCTGTAATGTTTTCATAACCAATTAAACTGAATCCAGACATAACTTCATGAAGTATGTTCAGGGAATGTTTTTGGAACATAATGTCATAACGTCCCACTATAACTTTATGAGACCATTCATTGTAGAAATATTCCCTGCTTCTTTTTTTCTTTTTTTTTTGACATATTCATTAAAATAAGCAGAACGTCCCTGTAATGTTTCCTTAGAACCATTTCTATTGCTCCCACATTTTGTTGCGGCAGTATGTTCTAAGAATATACCGGAACATTGTGTTATTACATTCCCTGGCAACCTAATGAGAACCTTTAGGGGAATGTTCTGTGGTAGTTTTTACAGTTGCACAACATGTTAGTGAATGTTAGGAGAACAGTCCAAGGATATACTGTATTTGGTGATCAAAAACATTCTTAGAATGTAAGTGGGATGTTATCAGATGATCAAATCAAATCAAATTGTATTATCTCTAACCATAACAAGAACTTAATGGGAATGTTAGCTAATGTCCAGGGAATGTTCCCGATTTGCTGAGAATAAGCGGAGCTCTGCATTCCAGAAAGGTCAGCCACTTGTTTCGCCAGAAAGACTAGAAGAGAAAATTCCATTTGCTTTTGATTGGCTCGAAAAAGGTTATCTTGGGGGGAAATTAGCATTGATTTTACAGTAACTTTTAAACTCTACTCAATTGATGACGACAAATACATTGACACACAAATATACCTTTGTGTCCGAAAGTTACAGTAAAATAAGTATTCCCCCAATATTCTCCTAATTACTAACAAAGTAGTTTATATTTTTATTTCCAGCACTACAAAATTCAAAAGGCACTCACACATCTGAGCTATCTTTGTTGCAGGTGCATGTGTGCGGGTTTCTTCTTTATTTCTTATCTCATTTCCAGCACAACAAGAAGTGATGATATGAGTTGGTAGGCCATGCATGCATGTTCATATTTACTCTCCCTGATCAATTGATACCTAATCAATATTTCTCATCTCTCTACTTCAGGACAATAATCTCACTGAATGATTTGGTGTTGTATTAGACAGATTTCATTGTATTGGAATGTAATAACCGCACCTTCTTCGCTATTGTAATGAATGGATGTTTTTATTAAACCTTTGAGATGCACCTTGCAAGAACTTTGTTAAACTTTGTTTCAATTGTCAGGAAACTTTAAACGTTACCAAATTCGAATTCTTACTTATAACCTAACATTGATTTCATCGTTATTTGATAGTACAAGTATTGGATGTGTCCAATCATTTGTGTCCTAAAATATTGGAATATTAGTTATCCTAGTTGATATACAGTAAATGTCCAATGTTTCAATGTTTATTTAAATGCCAACTGACTAATCTGTGTTTAATAGAGATTAATAGAGACATTATTAATCTTACATTTATACAACAAATGTATTTAAAACATAATTAAATCTATATTGCAGATAAGCAGATTAGTCAGTTTACCTCCGCTAATATTCAGGGTAGGAATGTTTCCATGCAATAGACCTGTGCAGTTATCTATAATCAACACTTTTGCACACAGCCCAGTGCTAAGTCTTACTAACAATTCTCAACAAAATAAGACAACAGCTAATTCAGAGCATGAATGGAAAATGATGCAGAAGTTTGCTGTAGCGTTAGTATGCTGTTCCTCTTTAGCAGGTTCATCTTTCTTACCGTCTTTCACTCTCTCCTTATGTTCTTCCACAGGTCTCCTGTCTTTCTCTGCAGGATCTCACAGCGCTGAATGGAATGCCTCCTTCTCTCTCTCTCTCTCTCTCTTCCCTTGGTTGTCTGATCAATTTCTCTGTAGGAGTGTGTCCTGTGTCTATGTCTGTGAGGTGGGAGCTCCTTTTATACAGTAGCCACAGACACGTGGGGGTCGGTGCTCCTGCTGCGTCTTCCT